ACCATACAATACAAATAATATATATATATATATATATATATATATATATATATATATATATGCAACTTGCATCTACATATATGGTGGGTCTTCCTTTTATTTTTCAACTCTCTTGTTATTTTATTTTTAAAAACCACTATTTTTTTTTATAAATACCACTAAAATTTTCTTGTTGGATATTGTATATATTGTCCCAATTATTATTATTATTACCACAAACACAAAGAGGGAAAGAATGGGGTTACATGCAATGGCCATTACTCTGAGCACTGAAAAAAAATATGTAACTAAAGGATCGCAAATAAACAATTCTTTATGAACAATAAATATAAAATAAAATGGTCAATAAAAAAAATGGGAACCATTTATTTTTTTACTATTTATTTTTTCCCGTTAAAGCAGATACAACGTTCTAGTAGCTAACATTTTTTTTATTTTATTTTATTGAACTTTTACATCTGTTACTATATTTGGAACTGCAGACAAAAAAGAATAATCCATATGAAATAATTACATTTATACTTTCGTAAATCATAAACATATGTAAACACACATATAGACACACTCGGACCAAAAAAAATATAATAGGGTAAACATAATTTTAATATGAAGATATTTAATAATTTTATTTAAAAAATTATAAATTTATAAAATAAAATAGTAAAAAAATTTAAATGGAAACAACAGAGGTAAAGGACCCCATCGTAATACACACGGGTCCACCCACACATATATATATATACCCACAAAATATTATGTATAAAGAAATTTTTACAAAAAAAAAGAGATGTTGCTGGAAGCTTAATTATTATTGTAATAGTATTTTTGTTATTACTTAGTTATATATTTCATTTTTTGTCGTACTTTATTTATTTATTATTTGTATAAAATAATTTATGTTGGATGCGCATTAAGGCCAAGAATTACGGAGTTTTTGCCTCCAATCGATGACGGCTTTTTGAGAGGGGGCACGTGTTCATATATTTATAAGCAAGAGGAACATTATTTGTGGATAAAAACGATAAAACACAAATATAAAAAAAAAATAGTATTAGAATATTTCGGTTTCTGTTAAAATACAAAATTGATGGAGTATGACGAACAAGATGATGTATAACATACGCTTCAAAAAAGCATATAATAAAAACCAATAATGCACCCATAACTGATACTCAAATACTTTTTGCATATTTATTTGAATGACACGCATATACTATTTCGGCATATTGTTTGAGTTCACACTATAATAGATAAATATCATTTAAAGACATCAATATCCGAATTTTAGTTTGCATATAAGTTTGGATACCACTTTTACCTAACATGTACATATATATATATATATATAAGATATCTTATTTTATTTCATCTTCAATATTTATTTAAGAATACTTATACGACACATACACATGCTGACATGAAATTGATTTAGCATTTCTAATTATAAATGATGAATAAATATTTTAGATTTCAGTTATCAATCTATCCGGCTATTTTCGATATATATATATATACACACATACATACATGAAAGAATATTCTTTATTTTTCCCAAACACTTGGGTTATGAAACTGCTTATTCACTGTCACCAATAATAAATTGATACATATACATATTTTTTCGGAAGAAAAATAATAAATACACAGTACAAGAAATTAAAAAAAAAAAACAAATTATTGAGTTTCGTGTAAAATGATGGGAGCAACGAACAGCATTAAACAGCTGAAGCTGTTCCACCTCCTCGCGACATCATAAATATGTATATATATATATATTTTCATTTTCTTTTGTAAGAACTTGACCCTTCACGTTAGGGTAAGCCAATGATATATCTCCTTTACTTTTATTTATATTCTACATCAATAATATATACTACTATATAATATCCACCATTTTTTTTTAAAAAAAATTTGCTGGATACTTTTATCTAACAATAAAAATTTCAATAACCAAAATAGAATTTAATTCCATCAAAATATCACATCGGTTCGATATATATAATAGGATTATAAATAGATTTTGAATACTTTGGAAGATCACACTACATATATATACATTAAAAGTTTTTAAAAAAATATATTTTTTAAATAGTTCATGTAGAATAAATTCTAAGAAAATGATAAATAAAAAACCCGACATTTGTGAGACACATAGGGAACTCAACTCCCATCAAAATCTTATTTTCACTCCACATACATACCTACGTAAACACATATACATGTACATATACATATACATATACATATACATATACACACACATCCACATTCAATTAACATGGAAACCAAAATGAAACGACATATCATAAATCACAACAATTGCCAAGATTATATAGTCCTACGTAAACTGTTTTTACACCGCAATTTTTTTAATAATTCCAAAAAATAATACGAAAATACAAAATAAAAACACAATAATATGTAAATTCTAATATTATATATATATTATCTATTTTTTAAAATTCATAGTTTATGATTTTAACGGATATACAAAACGAAGATAGCAATATGTTCGGTGCGATTTTCAGTTTAAACCGCATGTTGAGATTCTTAGTTACCCATAAAACATTCCATTCAATCCAACAACAAAACATTAAGTTATACTATCAAGCTTTATGAATGTGGCTAATGTGGCTTAAGCAATTTTACAATCTGATTAGTGAGATATCGGTTATGATATTATTGTTTCAAAGAAATACGACAAAAACATGTTTGGATCCATCATGGACCGCTCGAGATAAGAGAAACCCTCTTTTCTTTTTGGGTCGTTTTTTTTTTTTTAATTTCGTTGTCATCCTTATCATTTTCCCCAAAGGATGAAACGTCGAAATCATCCTCCGAATGAGACTCTGGTTGTGTTAGAGGCTTTGTATGCAAGAGAATGACATGCCCACGTGCCCGTCAACGTAAAGACACCAACAATAAGAATGCATACATATCTTTCTCAACATTCTCTCCTTTACCTTCCAATCTCTTTGATGGTCTGAAAACGACGGTTTTCCCTCATCCGGTTAGGTTGGGTTGGATGGCGGTTTTCCAACATACCGGTCCAGTCTGTATCGGTTTTCCAACAAGCAGAGGGATACCGAGTTGCCCGAGTGAATTCCAGGGCCCATAATGGTCATGGTGAGGAATTAACAGCAAATACGCTGAAGGCTGTTATAATCCTGCCAGAAAACAAGCAGAAGAAAAATTACAACTTTCACAACATCATAACCGAAATGGTAATTCTGGTTAATATGAAAAAGATTCGGGCATGATTTACACCATTCAAAGTCGTTAACTTTGGAATTTTCAGAGCTGCAGGCAAATTGGATGATAGCCTTTGAGAAATTTTTGACTATCCAAGAGAAGTTCATATGATTGAAGTTTCTGCTCAATGATAAACTAATCATTTTCTGCATTTCCTCTTTTGATTTACCAAAAAAAAACTTCTGCTCCAATGGTACACAGAATCTAGCCGAGCCCCGTTGCTCGGTTGTTTCATTTTCCTCGGGAGTTTACTTCGGGGTTTCCTGCTGGATAGAGAACCAATCTCCTGCATATACAATGAAATGACTCCTGCTTGACCAGTTTTCTCTATAAACTTTTATTGTCTTGCAATAACTTATTTGACAACAAACATCCAAAAGGTATGTATTTATTA